GTATCATCAGAATGTCCGGACTGTTGCCATATGTAGAGTATCATCAGAATGTCCGGACTGTTGTCATATGTAGAGTATCATCAGAATGTCTGGACTGCTGCTATACAGAGAGTATCATCAGAATGTCCGGGCTGCTGCTATATAGAGTGTTACCAGAATGTCCGGACTGTTGCCGTATGGAGAGTACCATCAGAATGTCCGAACTGTTGCCATATGGAGAGTATCATCAGAATGCCTGGACTGCTGCTACACAGAGAGTATCATCAGAATGCCTGGACTGCTGCTATATAGAGAGTTTAACCAGAATGTCCGGACTGTTGCCATATGGAGAGTATCATCAGAATGCCTGGACTGTTGTTATATAGAGTGTTATATAAAAAACTCGGACTGCTGCCGAACTGTTTCCAGGTAAACGTTCTTTACATCAGGTGATTGCGGTTGCTTGCCCCAGGCTTATTACTAGCTCAAGATATTTTATTCGTATTATATATATATATAAACCTCTGACATTAAACATTTTTGATGTATGATGTAGGCTAATAAAGATTTCAAAGAACATCACCTTGAATTACCTCAATATTATTGTCACAGGTTAGGTCCACAACACCTCATTTCACATCACTAACAATTATTTGCCTTTACCTTTTCCTTTCTTAATTATTTCCTGTCAGCGGACTTCTGAATCACACAGTATATAAAGCAATAATATTAATTTTAAGTTATGATTTCCAGTCATCAGTTCTTATTTTGTTACACTGTGTAAATGACACACAATGTCTATCGTTAATTATCCTAATAATCTTCAAGTGTTTCGAAATGACTGTCATGTCTTAACTTCATACTTTTGTAGGTATGATTTGAATGACAACTAACAATTCATTTATTATTAATGATGAAAGTAAATACATGAAAAATATCTGCTTACAGATGGCCAACCTCGTGAGCAGCCACAATGATTCCACTAAATCCACCACTGTCCTCAATAATAGCAACGCTATTGATTTTTTCGAGACGTTTGTTCACCACGCATGCTCCACCAACGTAGGCGAAACCTGATATGTGAAATCAGTTTTTTGAAATAAATGTTCTCCTGGACACCACAACCACATTATCGATAAAAATAAGGTGATTGGCCTCGATTTTTTGTGTGTGTTTGATAGTAGTTATTAAATATATGTACTGCTTTATTAATATTATATGTTTTTTAATCTAAACATAGTCACCGTTTTGTTAAAATGCCTTCAAAATTTGTATTTTCGTGGATTCTCTTTTAATTCCTGGAAATAAAAATAATGTTTTGAATAGACGCCTCTTTTTTGATTCGATGTTTTAATTACTTAACACTGTCTCTGTTTATTTAATAACAATTTCTTCAAGTATTTCTAGTGAACAAGAAATAGTTAATAGCATTAAATAACAAAAAGTTCTTCATATATAGGCGACGTGTATGTGGTTTATTCCTTATGTAGACCTTAGTCAATTTTCATTACTTTGTAAAGACATTTTTCATTGACATATTTTATAGCATTAAATAACAAAAAGTTCTTCACATATAGGCGACGTGTATGTGGTTTATTCCTTATGTAGACCTTAGTCAATTTTCATTACTTTTTCATTGACTTGTCAACTTTCTCTTTTCAGTTAAATAACATAATACTCCATACAGTGCCTCTTTAAATTAATGAAATACATATTTAAAAAACAATAATATTTCATTATTTAGTAGAGCTAACTTTCGGTTCAATGGACAATGTTTAATATATTTTTCGACGTTAATAGTTTTTCTTTTAAGACTTGTTCTGAATGTTAATAAAAATGTTTTCGAGATCTTAATCATGACAGTTCTTAATAAAATGATGTTCTTACCTGTAAAAAACCAGCACATTTGGCGTTTACGGAATTTACAAAAATGTTAAATAAAATCACATCTAATACTGAAAGACAACACAGGGCAAACCTGGAAATAAAAGAAAGAAATGATCATTATTTATAATTCCTGTAAAGCTACTTTCAAAAAATCGTGTAAAATTCACTTTAAGAGTTGAGAAAACATATGTTTGTAATAATATTATTGCACTTAGTTTCTAAATATATTTACCTCATTAGATTCTACATTAATTGAAACTTGCCATTTTAAACAACGCTGGTACTCCAGCGATTATCCATATCCAATTATTTTTATCCATCTTTTGAAATCTTCCTTAGATGGCAATTTGTTCTCAGTTTTATTACTTCGTTTATAATCAATATCGAAACCGTAGCTCAAAAAACTCCAAATAATGACTCTATAAGATAAGTATCCAATCAATAATTTTACAGATTAGTATCTCTTCAATAATTCTTTACAAGATCAGTGTCGAACTAGTGACATTCAATAAAATCATTGTCCAACCAATTACTTAGTACAGAAGATCACTATATAACTTTCTACCAGATCAGTATCCAACAAGTGACTTTCTGCAAGATCATTTACCCATCACACTCTACAAATTCAGTGACCAATAAACGACTCATTTCAAGAACACTTTCTAAAGAGTGATTCTCTACAAGTTCAGTATCAATATAGTCACTTTCTACAGCATCAGCATCTAAACAGTAACTGTACAAAATTAGTATCTCTATAATGACTCTACAAAATTAATAACCAAACTATTTATTTTGCTTTTATGTTCCTCCTTGAAGAAATAAGGAATAAAGAAATGTCTAATAAACTTTGCTTGATTGATTTATTGACTATAAAATTATTTACATAAAATACCTCTCGGTTCATTTTCCTGCTACTCGTACACACAAAATGTCATTGTCCCATAAATATATACAAAATAGGTCACATTTTTGCTTAACAGTTATTTGGAACACCTAGCCTACACGTTATATCTCTCAGTAAAAGAAATAAAAATATATATTATTGGTACGAATTACGATAAGCACTGGTGCAGTTACACTAAACACGCGTTTTTGTATGCAACACAAATACTGGTGTATAAACGGTATTTAATTATCTATGTAGAACTGGTTTGATAATGCTAAAAAGTTTCCTGCAGACATTTTCTCACACGAAATAAAAGAAAATCTAGTCACAGTAAACCTTATGATAAATAATGATAAAAACCTAAGTCATATGTGTATACCGGCATATCAAGAAATACATTAGACGGTCCGGTGTCTAAGATAAATACTTGTTAACATCAACAATACATCTCTAAATAATGAGGAAAAAAATCAAAATTATATGTGTGTGCGTGACTTACTCTATTTATGAGTTAAACGTAAAAATATTTTCATCAGTGAAGGACCTCATTCTAGATCTTACGTCTTGTAAATCATTCTAAATATGTATTACCCTACTGGTTTTTAGATCTTATTTCTTGTAACCTATCTTTTATAGCATTTCCTACTTGCTATTCCAATCTTACGTCTTGTGACATATCCTTTACAGCTTTATCTTACTTCCTTTTCTAGATCTTACATCTTCTAACTTATCCTTTATAGCATTACCCTACTTGCTTTTCTAGATTTTACGTCTGGTAACTTATCCTTTATAGCATTATACTTTTTACTTTAATGGATCTTATCTTTTGTAACTTTTATCCTTTATAGCATTACCTTACTTGATTTTCTAGATTTTACGTCTTGTAACTTATCCTTTATAGCATTATACTTTTTATTTTACTGGCTCTTATCTTTTGTAACTTTTATCCTTTATAGCATTACCTTACTTGATTTTCTAGATTTTACGTCTTGTAACTTATCCTTTATAGCATTACCCTACTTGCTTTTCTAGATTTTACGTCTGGTAACTTATCCTTTATAGCATTATACTTTTTACTTTAATGGATCTTATCTTTTGTAACTTTTATCCTTTATAGCATTACCTTACTTGATTTTCTAGATTTTACGTCTTGTAACTTATCCTTTATAGCATTATACTTTTTATTTTACTGGCTCTTATCTTTTGTAACTTTTATCCTTTATAGCATTACCTTACTTGATTTTCTAGATTTTACGTCTTGTAACTTATTCTTTATAGTATTACTTTACTTGCTTTTCTAGATTTTACGTCTTGTAACTTATTCTTTATAGTATTACTTTACTTGCTTTTCTAGATTTTACGTCTTGTAACTTATTCTTTATAGTATTACTTTACTTGCTTTTCTAGATTTTAAGTCTTGTAACATATCCTTTATAGCAATACTTTACTTGATTTTCTGGATCTTATATCTAGTAATTCATCCTTTATAGCATTACTATACTTTCTTTTCTGGATCTTACGACATGTACCCTTTCTGCTAGTAATTTTTTGTTCAACACGATCCTTCCTTTTGTTCTATTTCTTCTTGTAATATATTGTTTCACATGATCCTTCCTTTTGTTATATTTCTTCCTGTAATATATTGTTTCACATGATCCTTCCTTTTGTTATATTTCTTCTTGTAATATATTGTTTCACATGATCCTTCCTTTAGTTATATTTCTTCTTGTAATATATTGTTTCACATGATCCTTCCTTTTGTTATATTTCTTCCTGTAATATATTGTTTCCCATGATCCTTCCTTTTGTTCTATTTCTTCTTGTAATATATTGTTTCACATGATCCTTCCTTTTGTTATATTTCTTCCTGTAATATATTGTTTCACATGATCCTTCTGGCTTTACTTGACCTTTTTTCGTGTAGTTTTTCGTTTAACATTATCACACTTGCTTTTTCAAAATTTTCGTATTATAGTCTATTGTTTAGTGCGATATTTCTCGCTTTTAGAGTCGGCCTAGGGATTAGCGTGACATGCTATGGATCGTAAATTTCAGAGTTTCGATATGCCGCTGAATATTCTTCGCACTTTCAGCTGTGGGTGTGTTATGAGACTGTGTTGTTCGGTAAAGAACAGCCGTGTTGGTAGCGTGTGTTGCAAAATAGCTGTGGTCAGTAATTCTAACTAGGGAAAGTTGTACCAGAAGCTTGGGAGCCCTTTAACCTATATATCATAAAAGGTCCCTTCAGTTTAAAAAGTACTAAATATTTGTTGTTAAGTTAACTAATGTAAAGATTACAATGATGAAACATTAGGGTGTTAGTATTTACGATTCTTTATGACTGTTGAACTTGTTTTTTGACTTGGAAGTAAAAAAAGAATGTTCCAGAATGTAAGTACGTATTCTGTAGTCTTCATCGCTATTTCATTAATTAGCGCAAGGATACAGTGTCTAGCATTTGAGTATCCCTTAGTCGTAACTGTCTAATTTAAAGTTTAATCCGCGTCTAAAATTACTTCAGATATAGCTAATTTTGTTGTTGTTGTTTTTACTATCTTTGATACAAAGTTGAAAGATTATTTCGGTTGAGACGTAAGTTGTTTTCTAAGTATCTTTTTTTCAACACTAGCATATCACATGGCACGTATTTTTTCAAAATAATTTCAAATATGATGATAGGGACCTTACCTGAGGAATTTGATCTTCTAACTGAATGTTGCCCCGTGTTATCTTCTTACTGTAAAAGACAGCTAAACAAAAACTAAACAAATGGAAATATTATATTATTTTATTTCTATGAAACATACCTGAAAAAAGAATGTTCAAAAGTAAAAAGCGCAAAAGAAGAAATTCTACTTCAAACTTAATTACCACATTAAAAATCCCTTAGCAACGAGAATATTGCTTTTGTTTCAGAAATTTTAATATTAAACTATATCAGCAGGTGAAATGAACGTCGTTAGGATAACTATTTTGCTACATGTTTTAATCTCAGTGTTCTCAATAAGGATATACTTTAAACTCACGAAAGGACTTAAATTGTCGTTTAATGAAGCTACACATACTTTGTTGCTACTATTAACCTACATCAGCACGAAATAGATTGATGTTCCTTCTTGATTACAATGACATCTTGTATGTGATGGTGTAACATTTTTAGCTTACTACAAGTCCTTAATCGCAAAAATTCCTTTCCATAGTTGTCTCATTTCTAACTTGCAATAACCTTTTGATCACAAGGGCTCGCTTCCTTAGGATAGTGTCTCAATTCTAATTTACTGTAAGTTCTTGATCACAAGGGCTTCCTTCCATAGGATGGTATCTCATTACTAACTTACAATAAGTTTATGATTACAAAGGTTTCTTTTCATAGGATGGTGTCGCATTTTCAGCTTACTACAAGTTCTTGATCCCAGAAATACCTTTCCAAAGGTGTCGCATTTTCAACTTACCATAAGTTCTCGACCACAAGGATTCTCTTCCATCGGATGATGTAGTATTTCCAAGTTACTCTAGGTTCTTTATCTCAAGAGTTCTGTTTCATATGATGGTGTTGCATTTCCAGCTTAATATAAGTTCTTGATTACAAGGTTTCTCTTCCATAAGACGGTGTCACATTTCTAACATACTATAAGTTATTGAATAGAGTGACTTCTTCCACCTGAAATTGTTCCATTTCCAAGTTTCTGTAGTCCCTAAGTTTTTAGCGTATCAGACTATGGATCAGACGTTCCAAGGCTCACGCCCTATTATCACCAAGAAAAAACTGCGCTCTACACTTTACAGCATAGGTACGTTATAAGAATGACGATAAAATCTAACTATTCAATAAAAGTAGGCCACGAGTTGACGGTGGATGGTGTTAACTGCGTTGTGCACTCTGGGGCATGGTTACGTTATAACGATGACATTCAAATCTAACTATTCAATAAAAGTAGGCCACGAGTTGACGGAGGGTGGTGTTAACTAACTGCCTTCCGTCTATTCTATTACATTAAGATTAGGCTAGTGCAGACAGTCCTCGAGTAGTTTTGCGCGAAATTCAACAGTCACTCGATTAACTGTAGTTTTTATTGTAATGTGTTATTCCCTAGAACGGTGTGAAATTTCCAATTTGCTATAGGTTCTTGGTTGAAACTCAGTCTTCCATGTCATAGTGTAATATTTTACATCACTTAAGTCCTCTTTCCTTTTCACCATGGGTAACATATAAAAATACAACCTATGATGTAGTGCCCTAAAATATTCTTTTATTCATCTAACCCTCTGCTGTGCACTATAGTTTTATCTATTCAAGGATCATTTCCATGTGAAAAAATATGTGTCACTTTCGATGAAGTGCCCCTAACGTACTGAGAAGCGAGGGGACCTGGCTATCGGTTTCAACAGTCGAGACAGCAGGTTTTCAGAACAAAGGAAAAGTAGTGAATACTGCAGCTGTGGTGCTAGAAAATTAAGGATTGTCGGTATTTGTCTGTAGGTATACAAGAGCGAGGATTAGAATTGAAAGTAGATACAGGGGCAGCCAGAACACTAGTATACCTCACAGTATATCAATAACTTCAAGCAAAACCACCACTAGCCTATCGACACGAACTTTGTCCTGGCGAATAGAACGAAGCTTGATGTGAATGGAGAGTTCACGCTCTGTCTATGTCTTGGAGGTTCACTAACAGAACAAAGATAGTTGTCACTAACTTCGGTTTTGGCATCGATGTTCTCGGAATGGATGTACTGTGGAGTTCATCAGTCAGTTTTGCCTAAACTGGTGTTTGTGATAAGAGCATCCAGTGCTGGCCCAAAAGGCCCAAGAAACAGTGGAGTGTACGAGTGTATGTTGGAGAGGGAATTACAGTACCCCCATGTATACATACAATGTTTTCAATTTACTGCAAACAATACTTAATTCTTTGGTGGCATATAACACAGTTATTTAATCCATGCAGGAAATGGGCTGTTTCTTAACCAGAAAACAAGTTTACTGCAATTATGGATGGTCGGATGTCCAGCTGCACCCTGGTATGGTTATCTGCACAGTATGCAGAGTAGAAGTAGCCAAAGCTAGCGATAATTCAAAAGTGAACCTAGTAATCAACACACTCGATATCGAGATTGTTAGTTGAGGATTCTGCTGACAATCTAGACGCAATCCAGTAGCAGTAACTTGTTTGTGGAGTATGCTGATGTCTACAGGACCAAATGGTTAATTAGATGTAACTAAAGTCACCAAACATCATATATATATATATATACAGGTGACATAAATCTGATTAAACAACCACCTCACAAACTTTGCAGATATACGGTGTATATTAAGTAACGGAATCATATTGCCTTCAAAACATGCTTTGTCATCTCTGACAGTTATTATCAAAACGAAGGAAGGAATACCCAGATTCTATATTGGTTTTAGGCAGGTGACAACGTAACATCTATTGACATCTTCCCACTAAAGTATATGGGCACATTGCAAGTGACCCATTGCTTCAATCTTAATCTGTCATCCAGCTGTAATTTCAGCTGTAAAAACATTATAATAAGAGGGTCGATCACATTATTCGTTGGTAAAAGAGTAGCCCAAGAGTTGGTTGTGGCTGGTGTTGACTAGCTGCTTTCCTTCTAGTTTATCACTGCTAAACTATGGACTGCTAGAGAAGATAGCCCTCCAATACCTTTGCCCAAAATTCAAAACAAACTATAGTTTTTGTTTTTCTGTTTATTGTATACTCCTTATATGTTACATATATTGTTTTCAATATTAAATTATTTTAGTTTATATTTTTTACAGACTTTCTTATCATGTGGGATGTTTTTCTCACTGTTAAAGGGTTCATTTTATTGTAATTCATGACTTACTGGTTCGTGTTGATTTATGTACTGTATTTCATTTGAGATATTTCATAAGAGATGTATTTCGATGTTAAAGGGTATATTTTGCAAGTTACCAATTTTTCATTGCTAAACGTCTTTTCTTCTTGTTGTTGTTATTTTGTATGTTCAGGAGTTTTTTTCATTATTTCATGTTTAAAATAGTTTAGTATAAATTGTGTAATATTTCTGCAGTTAAATGTTTTTGTAACATTTGATGATATTTTCAGACATTATATATGTTCTACAATAAAAGAGTCTTGTTATAGGTTTGTTTGTTGTTGTTTTTATGTATCAGTGTTAAAGGATTGTCCATGTGGCATGCTATAAAGAGCAGGGAAGGTTTACATACTTCTTGGCACTGTTACAAGTCTAAAGCGAGTTTTTTGGTTTGTAAATTAAAGTTAATTATCGACTTAAGCTTAAGATAAGGAAGATGGGGAAGGTATAGTGTAGGAATATACCACATGACCAACTGATTGACACTCTTGCCTTGACATATCGTCGTTTAGAATGTTTTTGTAACACTTTTGCTGACTACATACAACATTCCATTTATTTTAATAATGGTTGTAGACGGCTTAAATGGGTACTGAAGAAAAACTTTAATATAAGTTTAACATGACAGCAAATGTACAACGTTTCGACAAGGTTTTGTTATCTTTAGGTACAAAAACATTTCTAAACATTGTAAAATTTGTGTCATTTTAAACATTTATTTAAA